CCCCCACCCCCTCAACCCCCCAGGGTTAGGAAAACCAGATTGTACGTACAATAGTTAGCCACCAGATTCAAGTGTTGGAAGCTAGTAATTTAGTAGTGGCAAGTGGAGGCACAAAGTAAAATAAAAATAAAAGATGCATGCATTAATTCAGGTGGCCATTTTTTGGAACGTTTCTAAGAGGCGCAGAAATGAACCGAAACATCAATTCCAATGATATCAGAGAAACTAATGAATGAATGAGTACACAATATTGGATCCTTCATTTTTTTCTTGTCTTTTTCTTAAACTTTAAATTAATTAATTCATGGTAAATTTTATATTTTCTCACCCACTCATCTCAATGGACGTCATTTCTTGCTACAGAAGATTAATTAATGGCTTATGTCTGACACGTAATTAAGAATAACCAAAACCATGCAATCCCTAGTCTTTTACTCGTAATAAAAATATTTTATCATATATATATATATATATATATATTTCATTTTAGAATAATCCTATAATATGTCACAATCTCTATTTTTGAAGTGAGCTTTTATGGTGAGTACTTTGCACACTAATAATTTTTATGGTATAATAATCTATAAATCATACATAAAATATAAATCGCATTAGAGATGCCAGTTTATTATATATTTACAATTGTATGTATAAATGAAATTTGTGAACCTCCACACGTGCATAAGATCATATGTATGGATGCATCTGAGAATCAGAACGCGATTCCCCATAGCTGCTTTACTTGGATTTATTCACCGGTAGAGGCGGAGTCAAAAATATTACAAAATATTTTTCTTTTAAAAAGGAAAACAAGATATTTTTGTTGATAGTTAGGTTCAAATCTATAACACTAGTATGTGAAAAATATTGTTATCGTCGTTTTTTATTATTAAGCTATCAATCAATATTGTATAGAATCTAATATATGTTAAATTTTCTTATGAAAATATAAAATCTACGAAAAATTAGCTAGTAAATTTATCTGAACCCATGAACCTCACCGTATCTCCACCTCCGGATGGGTAAATATTTACTGTCATCAGGAAATGATTTTACGACCGTAAAACAACGAAACTTTATGTACGTAGAAGAAAGAGAGAGAGAGAGAGAGATTCCGCAGCAGTAGGTTTTGTGGTTCCAAAGCAAACGAGTCACCCAAATTTTAGATTCTACTTCAATTTTCTTTCTTTATAAACACCTAAAATCTCCACCCTTTTTTCCATCACACATATTATTGCTTTAAGTTTGGACTAACTATATCGCTTTCTTCAGCATTTCTTTTTGTTTTTTCAATGGCATCAAGCTCACTTCAATCTTCATCATGGACACCGCAGCAAAACAAGTTATTTGAAAGAGCGTTAGCTCAATTCGATAAGGACACACCTGACCGCTGGCAGAATGTGGCACGGGCCGTTGGTGGTGGAAAATCGGCCGATGAAGTGAAGAGACACTATGAAATTCTTATTGAGGATCTCAGGCGTATCGAATCGGGACGTGTTCCTCTTCCTAATTACACTCATGAACAACAAAGGTATTCTTAATCTTGTAACTCTGTATCAAGTCAAAACCAGACTAACGAAAATGAATAAATATGATATTTTTGTTAAGGAATAGCGAAGTATACTTTGAAATGTGAAATGAGACGGTTACATACTTAAACCTTACTTTACTAGTCCTATATATTTTTGAATGAGACAGTTTACACTATTTTGTTAAAACCTAAGAAATACTCTTGCCTTTTTGTAGAACTCAGTTATATTATTTTCTTTACAACTTTTTGTTGTATTTTAGTCGATTCAATTCATGCAAACAATTCGGATATATGAATGAAATTTAGAATTTTTAAATTTCATATATTAACAAAACAGACATGGAGCTATTAGTGTTAAATTAGTTATTGCATGTAACCCTAAATTCTAATTAAGAGTCCTTCAATATTTATTACTAGTATTTTAATCAATTACTGCAACTCTAAGGAGTACTTTTTTTTAAAATTTTTTTAAAAATGTGTGCAATTTCTTGATTATCAAGATATCTAAGTAGTGATTAACTATATAGTGAATATATTTCAATAACATATTTATAATCAACTTAGCTTAAAATATATGATGTTTATCATCAGCATGTAAAAAGTGTCTTGCACTTATAGTTTACTTTTGCGTTTTTTTAAAAATTAATTTTCTTTTGTAATTGTTGAGTAGGCTTTTGAAGTACATCAACCTGCACTAGTGAAGATGTTGACAAGAAGATATTAAGCTGGATATCACTACCTAGCAAGTCAAGTATATGACAAAAAAAAATGCCCTTAAAAATATTCTATGAATATTGCATTGTACCTTCTCTTAATTATGAAAAATAGTTTTTTTTTTCTACCACTTCCAACTTGTTTTTATTGTATTGTACTAGTACCACAATATCTTATTGAATCGTATGAATCTCTCAATTTTCAAAAGGAGTTAGTGTATTTGATTTATTGCCTCAACATGCAACATATATAGAATAATTGTGCATGTGTTTTAAATTTCTGTGGTGTTTTATGAATTTTGATATCGCAAATTGAACTTAATTAGTCATTGGCTATTGTATTATATCGTTGATCTTCTATTTCATTTTATATATCTCTATTTTTATTTTTAGTTTCTTTCAAAGTTTTATACTTCAACATGATTTGTAATCATAAACAAAATGTTAAAACTTAAATGTCTAATATCACAAGAAGTTCGAAAGAAAATATATTTTAGTGAAAATTAATTAATAATAATAATAATTTAATTACGTTTAAATGTGTAATTTTAGCAGTAACTAGCATTCGTATAGCATATAAAAATATTTGATCCAATAACACTCTTTATTAATATGTAATTATTATTACCGCTAAAACTATTATTTTTTTTGGTTGTGGTGAGGATGTATACTTTATTTCTTAATTAGACATGCATGTTCCCAAACAAACTTTTTTTAATTTTAAAGAATTGTTAAAAAGAAAAAGATATTTTTAGAAATAGGTAAAGAATAAAATTAACACAAATAAATTGAAACGGATGAAAAGGTAAAAGAATAAAATTAGGTATTCGCATTATTTGTAAGTAGCGTGTTGTTGCCTTGGAAAACAATTAAGGGGAATTGGAAAAAGACATTAAAATTGATATGCAAAAGATAGTATGATGATTGACTTGACGTGACTGTTTGATATTACGACTCTGAAATATACTATCACCATCCATATATTATCCAAATTAGATAGGATTACAAATGAAAGACAAGAGACCATGATTAAATTTATTCACTTAGATTAAAATTCACCCTAATCAATATTTGTATAGTTTCTAATTGCTATATATATGAAAATAAAATTAAAAATTTCATGGTTTAACACTTCCGAGTTCCAAATAAATTACTAAATTAGGGCTCCAAGAATGGAAATGATTAATACTCGCTCTGTCCCTATTTACTTGTCCGTATTTTCTCTTTTAGTTGTCCTTATTTACTTGTTCATTTGACAAATCAAAAAAGGATTAAATTTTTTTTTCCTATTATATCCTCATTTAAAATTCTTAAAAATTTTCAAGTTTTAATTTTCATTTTTGAAACCATAATTAATAAGAGTAAAATTATAACTTCACTATGCTAATTATTGTTATCTTAATATGTGTGTCATTTCTAAAGTGGACAACTAAATAAGGACAGAGGGAGTAATAAATTGTATCTTCACTTTTGCTAACAATAAATGTATGGGTCTAGATCACTAACACATTGTTTGGATCATTGTTTCATAATGTATTGTATTGTACTCTATTGTACTGTATTGTATGGTAGATACAATGTTTAGTTAGATTGTATTGTTTGTTGTTGTTTAATAACATTTTAATTGTTTGGTTTGATTGTATCGCAATGTATTGTAATTTATAAATTTAATTAAATATCTTTAATTATTCTAGGGTAGGAGGTTTGATTAGATTTAAATAATTAAGGTAAAAGATAAAATAGTAACAATGGAAACACACAAAATTGGTTGTTCCATAAAACAAGGATTTTCACAACTAAATTTACAATACAGTAAAATATATTTTAAGTAACAATCAAAACAAACATCGTAGGCATAGTAACAATACGATACAATACAATGTATAATAATAATCCTAACATAGTGTTAAGAGAGCAAAAAATATGAAAACTCAGAGAAAGTTCGAGGGGTAAAAATAAGAATAAGGAATTGAATTATGGAATTGAGGTCGAAAGAAACCGGGCTAAATTTGTCAGCAAAATCAAAATTTTATGCGATACAATCAAAATATATATATATATATAGTTGGCTCATATGTTTGGTCCATACCCTTCTCCATTTTAAATGTGAAAAGGACGAAAATATCACTCGACTTTCGTTTATATTATTTATAAAGAAAATGCACAAGTATCCTCCTAGGTAGGATCAAAATTTCAAAGGTACATTTTAACTAAATTAAGGTCTTATTACCTCTAAACTTTTTTTAATTATTATATACCTTTTATCTTACGTGGTACACTCCGTGACTCCACACAATTGAGGCGCTTTGGAGATATTTGGATGTCACGTAAGTCAAAAAGATGCACAAAATTACAAAAATTATAAATTTAAGAGGGTAATAAAATCTTAAAACAGTTAAGATAAATCTATAAAATTTCATTTATAATCTAGAAGATACTCGTATATTTTCCCTTATTTATAATATAAGTTCGTCTCTAGTTATAATAATTGGACTGACTATTACACGGTGGTTATAGAGCACACTGCAATTTTTCCAAGTTGATGTAGCTTGCTTAGGATTTTATTATTGTACAATTAAATTAGTTCTGTCCAACTTTTCTAAGATTTAAAATTTAAATTGTATGTAAGTCGGTCTAGCTCGAAATTCTTTTTCCTTGGATCTCAATGCATCTTCAGCATGTTTTATGCTAAATGGGCCGGGCTAAGAGTCGAGCTAATGATCCGGCCCACTTTTAAACCCAAATAATAGAAACAAAATCTTGTTGCTCAAGTTATCACATTCTATAGTCCCTTCTCGATAAAAGAGAAGTGTTAATACAGAAGAAGGTCCCTGCACTGCTCATTCTCAAACCGTGTGCTTAGAAAACTACCTCCTCCGTTCTATTTCGGAAGGTAAGCAGCAAACTCATCTCCATCGATTTTAATTTTTCTTCCTTTTTTTTTTCTTTAATTTTCAATTTTGATCTGAGATCTCAATTAATTAAAGCAATGTGAAATCGCCCAGAAATCGGTTTGTTTGTCTAGAACGTAGTATTTTCTTAGCAGCATTAAATCAAACAGTTTATCTGCAACTTTGTTTCCTTACCTCTAACTGTGAAATTTGCTTCTCCAATGGGATGTTGATTGGATCATCTGATAACACTAATGCTTTTACCTGTACATGGAGTAATTAATTACCTTTGTACACAATAGTTGCTTGATACACTTCGAAATATATTTATTAACAAATTTCATGTCCAAATTCATTGATTTGGCTCTCGAAATTGTGTTTCATAGAAGGAGTAGTGCTTTTATTTTGTAAGGGTTATACTTCATGTATCCTTTAGTCCCCAGGGATACTTTTGATAGATCATTTGGCCAATTAGACAATTGTGAAAATTATACTTAAATCTTTCCAGTTTAATTTGAGTTGTTCCAGGTTTTTGCTTTGAGCAGATCTACTTCTTTTGCTTTGTAAAGACTATATTTAGCTTTAGTGGCATTGAATGATTGATGGATCACAGATATCGTGTCTTACTTAAAATTGAATTACGTAGATATTTGTCCTGTTTCGTAATGAATTATCTATACCTGAAATCTGGGTACCTGTTTATATTTGTCCTTCTGCTTGGTGTATGTTTACATTGTTTGGTGCCTAGGAAGAAATATAATAGTTATATGTGATGTTGATAACCTTACAGCCTAGATAAGAGCCTCACATCAAGAATATGGCAGCAGAAAATGTCCAAAATGAGAAGACATCATCCGCTGTTACTCCAAATCCAGCCATGACTTCGTGTAGGAAGAAGAAGAGCGAACAAGCGACTTTTCTAGAAGATATCAAGGATCACATGGATGAATTTATTCATGCTTCTATGGATGAACACAAAACTTGCTTCAAGAAGACCATTCAAAAGGTATTTGTCAACACTTTCACCATAAATACTTTGCTTACACTGAACCTAAAAAAGCATTGCATCTATTGCTTCAAATATAACTGGCTGGCTGTTAACCTTGTACAATGCACATATCAGATGTTTGGCATGTCAAAAATTGTTGCGGAAAGGAATGCCGAGGCTAAAGAGGTTGAAAGTTCTCTGCCCCTGCAAACAACATTGGCTAAGTAGAATTTTTGGCACATCTTGATTTAACGGGCTTATATCAATAGAGTAGAAAAGAATGACATATAACTTTTCACTATGCTCTCAATTTGTAATTTTCACTCTCTTATTTCCACTGTGTGTATTAGTATTGCAATCGTTGTGTAGAACTTGGATTGGTTGGTTTCATTGCAGTGAATAGATTCACTGGTTTCTTCTGCTCTTTGTACCACTCAACTTGTTGGTGGTAGCAGGACTATGAAAGATCGACGAACTGTCAAGTGTTCAAGGAACATTATCTAAATTTTAAGCTCGTAATTCTATTACAAGTGAGAATAGTTTCATAATCAGTTTTTCTGCTTCATTACACCCCACAAAGTGGATAGATTCGCTGGTGTTACTTTGCACCAGTGAATTGTTTGTGGGATCAGGATTATGAGAAAATGACAGAAGTGCTTAAACTAATCTCATATTGTTTAACGAATCTCGCACAACTACGATTGAATAGCTATGTTTCTGGTACACCCGTGAAGAAATATACACACACTCCATTGATGTATATATGTAGACATTAAGCTTCAATTTCAATTTATTCAACCTATAATTGTGAAGTGTGAACACATAATTATTTATCCTCCTTTTATGACTTGCCAAAAACATTAAAAACTAAAGGCAATTACTCCCCATTTTTATCCTTTGAGGTGACCAGTGGTTTGAGTTTGGGATTTTGATGTCAGCGAGACCTTTGCTAATGAAAGTGAGGAGTTTGATTTCTGGGTTTAGTTTGTCACATTGGTTTGTAACTTATTGCATAAAAGTGGGAGTTTATCTTGTGCCCACTAGGGTAATATATGTGATTGGTAATGATGGTGGGTTTTCTATGTGCGCCCAAATATAACGTATGTGGATTTCCTTTATTATGTGCGTACGTAAGTTTTTCTTTTTATGATAAGGAAAATTCGCAGTCGCTATCCTTTGAGTGCGCACAAGATAAAACTTTCGCTTCTATGCAAAAGCTTACAAATCACATTTGAGAGGTAATCCGCATCAGTCTAGAAGGCAAATCCCTTGCTTGCGCTGGAAAGAGATTTTGAACTTGAGACCTCTAACATGAAAGTCTCAAGCTCAAATCACTGGGCCACGTATGAAAATTACAGTATATATTATAACGATTCTCCTGACTGATGGTCTCAAAGGGTATTATTGTCATTGTGATATAATATTGTCTGGTTCCTTTTTAAAAAAAAAAAAATACTACTACGACATTTTTTTTGTGCGCTGAAATTATTGTCCACTTGTGCCTGCGCTTTCTAGTCCCTTCTAAATAGTGTTTAAGCCACAATAGTCAAACAAATTTATTGACTTATCGATGAGGATTTGCGTTTTATGTTGCCTAAAAGTTGCACTGAGTTTGTACAATATTTTATATCGTCTGTGATAACACTTATATCGCAATGTGAATATTACAATATGGTGTGGTCTGAATGTTCGACAAACCGTGTATTTAAGAGCATTCAAATAAGCTAAGAGTAACGTACATATATCCACACAATAAAATTAAAAGAGAAAAGACATAAAGTAATCATTAAAGTTGTTCCGAATTTTTAAAAAGACACTTTAACTTTGTAACTGTCCTATTATCCCACTAAATAATTATGAATCGGTATTATTATACCATTTTTCGACCAGCCCCAAATTTTAAGAAGCAAGTGTGTTCACGCACCAATCAATATATGACACGTGTTAATTTAATTAAAAATGTATTTTCTTTTTCATTTTAAGTTTTTCATTTATCTTTTTTTCTCTCTCTTACTTTTTAAATTTTAATTTTGATTTATTTAAAGTTCATTTTATCTTCCACCTTTCTTCATTTGTTTTTTTCTTCACCTCCCACGCCTTATGTCAAATTGAATCTCACTCCCATTTTTTTTCTTTTCTTTTCTTTTTCTTCTTTTGATCCGGTCAAATTTTATTCATAATATTATTTATACTTTATTAAATTATTGATAACAAAATTAATTATTTTTCTAAATAATTTAAATTTTAAAGTATCATCAACTACTCATTTTCATATAAATCCAAAATTAGAATCATAATTTTAAAAGAATAATTTAACTTTCGAAAATTGAAAGTACTTAATTGAAATCGGATAAAACAAAAACTATATGATCCTCCCTAATCATCTCATTAATTTAGCTCATTTTCATATCATTTCAAAACTAGAAATGATAATTTTGAAATAATCATAGTTCTCCTAAATATGAAAAAGTTTAATTGAAATTTGAATTAAAAAAAATTAAATAATACCTATTAATTATCTTGAAATCTAATGTGCTTATCAAATTATTCGAATGTAATATAATGTTTAGATATAGTTTTAAATTAAAGAGATAGTTAAGCTAATAGTAGTAAAAAGAGGAGATGAAATTGTCATAAAAAGTGACATTTGAAGTGAGGATCTTCCATTAAGATGAAAATGATTTTTTTTTAAGAAGAAAAAGGAAGAAAGAAAAAGAAAAAAATAATAAGGAGAAAAAGTTAAAATAATAAGAAAAACAAGAAAATGTACTTTATAGCAAAATACTTGAAAAAATAAAATTATATTCATTTTTTTTGTTTGCTCACGTTCTTTAAGAGAGTGCATACACTTTTCATGTCATGTGGACAATAAATGATGTAATAATATCAATTCAGAATTGTTTAGGTGGGGTAATAAGACGTTTGCATAATTTAGGTGTCTTTTTGAAAATTCGAAATAACTTTAAGTGTTACTTTATGTTTTTTCTCAAATTAAAATGTACATGTATCAATTGCTTTCAAATCACATATTCATCGGTTTTGAAAAGATTAACTTACAAATACTTGACACGGTATTTAAGAAATTAAAAGTGACTTTTCATTTTTGTGAACCTATATTTAAATGTACTAAAATACTATTTAATCTTGTTGTCTTAAATAAATTACATGAAAAAACTGAAATCAAAATGTTGCCAAAAAGGAAAAAAAAAATGTCATTTTTTAATAATTAGCACAAAAAGAACAAAAGAAAAAAGATTGTTTGTTTATTTTTTGTTTAGCTGTTCAAATTCGTTCACATCAGACAAAGAGGAGTCGAACGATCAAACATCATTAAGAGTTTTGAGTATGAAATTGCACGTACGTAATATTTTTTTAAAACAAGAAGTCGTTTTATAGAAAGAGATCAAACATGAATGCTATTACAAAGTAGAAGGAATTCAAATGCTTCCTTCATATAGTACATCCATGAAATTGAAATTAATACAATTAACTTGTACGTACAAAGAAATTGATATACACTTCACTTGAATTGTCAAGAAGAAAATGTGATATTCTGGTTATTGTTTTTTTTTAATATAGCTAGTAGTAACGTTACTAATTTCTTGGAATAAAAATGTAGTATTATATATAATTAAGGTTGCATCTTTCTTCCCCTCATTGCTTTGTTGGAACCAAAGATTTGCATCCTGCATCAAATATTAAACATTCCATTTCAAAAAGATACTATTATACGGAAACACAAAAATTTGGATCAAAATTCATTTCTATAGACCAAAAACATAATTAATATAATGGAGACATTTGAATCAAAATTTATCTAATGGACGATAAATCATACCTTAATGTGAATTATTTGTTATTATCGCGGGATCGGCCTCCGGTAGGAGTGGTGTAGTTTGGGAAAGGCACACCACCACTCTCAATAAACATGATATCATGAAGAAGTAGTTGATAATGTTGCTTCACATCTTCAGCAGTTTTATTACCTCCAACAGCTCTAGCAACGTTAGACCAACGGTCAGGGGTGTCTTTGTCGTACACTGCTAATGCCCTTTCAAATGCCTTGTTTTGTTGTGCAGTCCATGTAACTGATGATCCTTGTCCAACTTGAGAAGAAGACATTATATATGCTAAAGTATTAATAATATCGATCGAGTTGATGATTGTATCGAAGGGGTGCTCTACTTATATAGGCTACAAAATGAGAGGGGTGTGTGGGGGTCCAAAATGATATTTAAAGAATTTTATGATTTGTCTTTCTAGCAACCACAAAGACTTAACAATGCTCTAGATCAAGCGTTATTAAATCAAGTGTATTAGTATTATATGATAATAGGTCGAAGTTATAATTTTAATTTGATAAATATAACATTTAAATTTTTACTATTGATCAGCCCAAAACAGGATGGTCTAAATATTTAATATTGACCATGAACTCATATATAGATTCTTAAAAATAAAATTTACCTCTTTGAACAACTACTTCATCTTCACGTGAATTGAGTGGTAGGAAGTACTTTTTGAACTAATTGTTAGAGAATATAATTGAATAAATAAAAGTGTTTTTATTAACTGGTTAAATTTTTTTAAAGGATTATCTCACGTTTCAATTAGATATCAATGCAAATAAAAGTAATGTAATAAGCGTTTTGAGAATATAATTAAGTAAAAATGTGATATTTTTTTCTTGACACTTCACGAATAAATAAATATATAATTTAATATTTATACACTGTTAACTTTTTAATATATATTCATATAAAAATGTTTGTTCGATTGAACATGATATCTACATGCTCCATCCGCCACAGGTTACAGAATAGTACTGTTATGGAGCAAAAGATATTTTGTTGAAGCTGATTAATGCATTTCGGATAGAAAATAATTATTTTATTTAATAACATGCTCTATATATAAGAAAAATTTATGTCAAATTTCATACGATAAATTTTTTATTATATTTACGTCATATACCCGTTTTTTTATTTTTAGTTTTCTAAACTCAGTAAAAACGTGATATACAATAGGAAAAGAACGAATTAGATTAATAATACACCTAGTCACGATTTAACTATAGCTTTTACAAATTTCTTCCATCTATGGCATATGACTAAATTAAACCACGTCATATTAGGGTTGCCTAATAATTTTATTGCACTAGAAATAGTAATTAAATCAACCACTTACAATATGCATGTCAGTATAGCTTATAGAAAATCATACTTTACTACATTTGCAAATCCTTCATCTTTTATCATAGAAATGTCATGATATTACAAGTCTTAATGCATGATCCATAATTTTAGGATGTTATATATTCACATCTAACTTTTGAGATATGAGTCTGTTCAAATATTATATTTATGATAAGATATTTACAAAATGTGAAATTTATACGAGTTCAAAGTTGAAAGGGTAAAAAAAAATTGTCAAAAAGTTTAGAAGGGTACATCAATTTCTTTTTAACCAAAGGAGTGATTTTTTCTGACAAAATTAACGTATTAATTTTTTTAAAAAAAATACAAAAATCATTGTCACGACAGCAATTTCGTTAAAGAAAATATTTTTTTCCTCAAAATCGCTGCCAAATAAAATTAACAAAGTTGCCCCTGCCTCTATTGCTGGCTTGCTGCAAAGAGACGACCACAATGGAATTCAATTTAATATTTTTTTAAAAAAAACGTTGCGTGTGCAGCGATATTAAAAGAAAGAATTACAATATTAATAGCGATTTTACTTTTTTGGTTAAAAGAAAAAACAAATTGATATGTCCTTTTAGAATTTTTTATAACTTTTTTTGCCTTTTTAACTCGAACTCAAATTTATACTACTTGATGACTTGAAATGGCTAAAACTTTAAATTCTGTCTTCACCACCACCACGACAATTTTGTTACAAATGATGATATGGGCCACATATTTGATTTGGCTTACAAAAGTTTTTCACGGGGGTGCACAATGATATTGGTTAACTAGCTAGAAGTTACGTCTAGCTAGGCTATATGTGTGTACTGTGCAAACATGTTGGCAGAACACAATCTACATATATTGATCACTTTGTGTGCAATATTATATTTTTTGTGTGTAGAAACAACAATAGTCCAAGTTACTTAAAGCTTGTTCACCACTTGTTTTTGTCCCGTACAATGATGGTATTATGTTTTTATTACCAGAAATGGTGAACACGTGTGACCTACTACTTTACACAAATCGATTTTCTTGTACCTTATGAATCATCTTTCTATTGTTTTCTAGCTACATCAACAAGTACATGAATTAATTCATAATCCCTAATCATAAATAGGTAAGTAGAAAACAAAAGGAAGTAATGTTTCTCATGGGTTTTTAATTCATATCGAACTAGCTAGCTCACTAAGTAAACACATGAGCGTTTGATAGGAAATAAATTTTCGTTGAATACTGGAACGTTATCTATATTTTTTTTTCTCAGTGACTCTATCAAAATATTTGTAATAGCCATTAAATATTTTTAGTAGAATATTTCAATAAAAAAATGATTCTTTAGTAAGTGTGCTTCATTCGTTAGATTTCCGTTACTTATAATTCCTGTTAATTAATACTACCTGGCGTAATCGTTCTCTGATCATATTTGTATTTATATACTCACTGAATTCCTTTGAAAACCTGCATAAGATTTACCACCGGCAGAAAACATGACACTTGTCTGATTTTGATTTGACAAACTCAGAGAAATGTATATTGGGCTATGACAGCTTACAGTTGTTGCAATTATTTACTTTGTTTTAGATAACTGAGTCAGAGTTTTTACTAAAATTTAATGTGGCAATTAGTGTAATGATAATCCTTTTATAATTTTTAACCACATCTTTATTTGGAAAAAAAGAAATCTTTAAAAATGTTCGTATTTGGTTAAGATAGAAATGATTATTTTAATAAATTATTGAGCGTAATCTCAACATGAAAACCCAAGCCTAAGATAATGCAGGCAAAAAATAATGTTACTATTGATTTGTTAAATAAAACAATGTTAATATGTCATGGGGAAAACTTAAATATAATAGGTTGTTCATTCCTGTGCCGTTATAGCATAAGCTCGACATAGAGCCATAAGTTGTTTAACTTCTTTATCGTGACTATATAGTATGAAATTAAACGAGAATATTTTTTTAAAAAAATATATATTGACATTGTTTTTCATGCGGCAAATTGTTTTAACATAGATGATTTTAAGTTTTCGACCCCTCACTTTATGGTTAATCTTCAAGATCAAAAGTTAAAAGTTAAATATTATTCTCTATTAAAATCATTTTTATTAAATCACTGCATGTTTAGCCCAAATAATAACTTTTAAATGAAACTCTTGCACGGATTTAAGGATGATCTTTTAACATATATTTTTTGGTTTTGGTACTCATTTAAAAAAAAGAATTGTAGATTAAAGTATCTTCATTAATAACCCAATTTCGTTCAATATAAGTTTAGACATTTATCTCATCCGACATAATTTTATAGAAATAAAATTATCTGGCATAAATTTTATAGTATTTATTTCACTTGATTAATTTTGAACACATTTATATTAACCGGCACAACTTTTATAGAAATTAATTAGCATAACTTGAATTATAATATTATGATACGAAAATATCAAAGTAGAATATTAACGTTGAAGGGAGGGTAGAAATAGAACGTTTGATGGTGCAACACCATACAATTTAAAGTGCAAGTGGATCATATTGACTATAGTAATAGCTAGCCCATAATAGCTATTGGTCCATTCCTATATATGCGGGGTGATGAATCCTTCCAATTTGAGTCCATATATTCACTTCACTTTATAAAGAAAGAGATCAATTGTAAAATTATATTTTTTTTAAAAAAAAATACAATATCATGTCACTTGATATAATAAGTAGAATTATTTTATATTCTGAAAAATAAATATCTGATATATTAATATTAAATTATATTAATAGTCTAAAAATGCATTTATCTAATAACGTCATATAAGCCATGGATAGCTTTTTACCAAAATCAAACTTTTGGGACATATTGCAAATGATTTGGGAAGGGACCCCTTCATTGACGCAGCTGAATATTCGCAATTTTTATAAACTTTCCATGATTCTAAAGTAATAGTAGAAAAATGAAAAAACAAGACAAAGGTTCGATAACTAAAAAAAGTTCTTCAATTTGACATGTTTTAATTAAATTAATCTTTAGTCAAATTAAATTTAATCGTCTTTTTGTATTGGACTTTCCTATAATCATTACCCTCTCAATCTCAAGTACGTCAAGAAACAATTTAAGAAGGATTTGAATAAAACGTGTCAATATTTGGGGAGGGAGCGATAGCAGAGTCATCGTGTGATCAGGGGTTCCATTCAAATTTTTTTTGATAAAAAACTATATTATTTATACATAATTTCATTCTAAACTATCTTCAGCTACTTCATATTAACTTGTTCAGATTTTACGCCGTTTAATTAATATTTAACTCCGCCATAAGTAAAAAGTTTGAAGAATTTTTTGATTCCACCGACTCTACCGCGTACGGAAAACACAATATATGTGGGAACACTTGGTCTCCAAACAAGGGCTCTAGCCCTCTAGGATGGTCCTCTATAATTCCCACAACTTGTAGAATTGAATAATATAATGGCCCACTCACGTCTAAAAACATACTACACTAATTAATATTCCAATTAAACTTTTTAAGCAATGTAACTCATAATTTAAAAAAAAAAAAAACTTTTGATAGCTCCAAAATACTAACTTCTAACTATCAACTTAATAGATTAGTGAAATTAAATATTCAAAAATCTTAAGGCAGTGTAGACTTTGAGTTTTTGAAAAATGTTACGGTCGAGAAATGATAGGTGTATTTTTTTAAGAGAAAATTGTGTATTATAGCAGACTATTTATTCTAATTAAATAGTATAAGTATATTTTGATTTAATTGTACTCCATCTTAAACTGTTGTTATTTCATTTCTCTCCAGGTGAATATCGTTCGACATATTTGTTCTCTCCCTCGCCTCTCTAACTTGCTTTTATACAAACTCAAATGTATAAAATGTGTTTTTGTTTGTATAAAGTGAGAGAAAATTGTATACATACATATATTTTCGTTTCCCTCTCCCAAACTTCACTGGCATCTTTCGTTTATACAAAAAAAATGTATAAGTGTGTATTTTGTTTGTATAAAGCGAAAGAAAATTGTATATATATACATTTCGTCCTATATACTTTTAATTATAAAATACAAATATTTCCATGTCCAGTTCTCATTTGTTTTTCTCGCTTTATTCAAACACAGATTATAGCAAACTATAGTTATAGCATACAAATATAATTTTTGTATTTGTCATATGTGAAAGTTGTTCTTCTTTTAACACCGTTTCGATTATAGACTTGGGGAGTTACGATCAATTATT